ACGAGGTCAAGGCCAGCCTGGGCAACAAAGTGAGACAGCATCTCTAAGAAAAAAATTCTAAGGTTAAATCCTAGAGAAGACTGACTATCTTTCTAAATATCAATGTAGTCCTCCTTTGCTCTCTTCTGCAGTGTAATAACAACATAGAGTGTCTGTGGACTGCAGTAAACTTTTCTGAAACTAAAGGGTCTCAAAAAGGAAATGTAGTGTGATAAGGGAAACCTAAAATTGGGTGTCAGACTTTACTTTGTCTCAAAGTCCATTGCTTCTTATAGGGAGTCTTCTAGTGCTTTCTCTAAATTCTGTGCTTTGAAGTTAGAGCACAGTTGGCAAATCTGCCCCTGCTTTTTTTAATGGTTGCAATTTGAGAGGTCCTAAGACCGTCCTTAGGTTCAATGCAATAGAAGGACTCAGAACTCACTGAAAGCTTTTATGTACACATAATCACAGTGAAAAGACACAGATGGTAATCACCCAAGGTAGCCAGGTACTATGGCTCATGCCTATAATCCTAGCACTATGGGAAGCCTAAAAGTGGGAGGATCCTTTGAGCTTGGGATTTAGACTAGCCTGAGCAATAGCAAGGCCTCATCTCTACCAAAATTAGAAAAATTTATCAGAGCACGGTGGTATGTGCCTATAGTCTCTGATACTTGAGGTAGTGAGGTAGGAGGATTGCTTGAGCCCAGAAGTTTGAGGTTGCTGTGAGCTATGATGATGCCATGGCAGTCTAGTCTGGGGAACAGAATGAGACTATCTAGGAAAAATAATCAGCCAGGGGCAGAGTCTCACAGGGGAGAATCCAGACAAGTTCCAAATTCAGAGCTTTTACTTGTACTCTCCCTGCAAAGTCATGGACTGTGTTACTATGTGTGCTACTGTGCCTGCCTACTAGAAAATACAACCTTCCCAATTAGGGAAGCTAACATGATCCTGGTATCCAGAGTTTTTATGGTGCTTATCACGTAGGCATGGTTACCAACCCATATGGCTAATTTCAGTTTCTAATTCCTCAGGAAGTAGAGCTGATAGTGTGTGACTCAACTCCCCCATACTAACCCACAATTTTAAACTACCTGGCTTGACCCGAGGCCCCAGGCAAACAAAAACAGCTTCAAGCATGACATTTCCAAGAGGTTAGAGATCCACCTCCAAGAAGCTAAAGGTGGAAAGGCCTGACCTCTCTTTGGTCAAGGTTAAATTTTTTACTATACGCCTGCCCTGATTCACATTTTTCTTACTCCAGGATCTAGGGTAACAGCAATTCTAATGTCTGGAATTTCATGGTCCTAATGAGAAGAATCTTAGAGGAGTTGTTATTTTATTGACCAGAGCAAATCACATGGTCATAATCATGCCTGACTTTGGGAGAGGGATGGCTAAAGTACAAGGGAGCTAGATAGTAGAGATTGGTTGTACTATCATAGTATTTAATAAAAGCCTTCCAGAGGTTTATCCTCCACAGTTGAACGTCTCAAGTGAACTAAATGAAGCACCATATTACAGAAGCAAGTGGGATCATATGACTTGTGCAACTTAAGTGAATAAAACTAGTATAGCAGATAGACACTAAAAGGAGATTGCTTTAATGTGAAGTCAAACGTTAGAAGTTAGAGCTGCCTAGAAAGGTAATAGATTCCTACATAAAAAGGAGTTAATTGTGTAGCCTTTCTTGTAATGACTATCGTGAAGATAATTCATAGTCTTTGGAGTACTGTTCCACATGGTTATACTCTTGTCTGCTCTATTGAATCTCTAAACTAGATCAACTATAGTATAAATGAACAGCTTTGTCAGGGAGTGTGTAAACCTAAAGTGAGTCTTCTCTTAATCAAATGCCCACAAGGTAATGGTTTACCAAATGTCTGGTGACTTCTGTTTTACTGAAATCATCACCTAGAAAAGCCAGCTCATAAGTCTGCACAGTTTTAGCTTAATGACTAGATCCTTCCCTAGAAAGGGCTAGCTGAAGATTTCCTACTGACATTTTCTGGCTTAGACTGTTTTGTCAAAGTTTTGTACAGAGTAAATCGTCAGTTTAAAGCCCACCTCTAATGCTTCCCGGAGCAGTCGGGTGAAGGTTGTTTGCTAGCATAAACATACTTGCTGTTCTTTCTGTCATGGCCACTTCAGCTTCTACTCCACCAGTCTGTGTCTGGCACCTTCAGATCCAAGGTCAAAACTCAAATCTGCAAGTCTTTATCACATATTTCCTTTAATTCTAATGTGATTTTTTTTTTTTTAATTGAGACAGAGTCTCACTTTCTCACCCTTAGTGGAGTGCTATGGCATCATAGCTCACAGCAACCTCAAATTCTTGGGCTTCAGCAATTCTCTTGCCTCAGCCTCCCTAGCAGCTGGGACTACAGGCACTCACCACTCACTCAGCTATTTTTTTTTTTTTGTTTGTTTGTTTGTTTAGCAGGCCCCGGCCGGGTTTGAACCCACCAGCCCCAGAGCCTGTGCTCTAATGTGAATATTCTTATGAATTCTTACTTAATATTTTATGGCAATGTTTATATTTGGTTATTTTCAAGAACAATGTAACAAGCCTCTATGAGCTTAAAAACGTATGGAAAATTTAAATATTTGAAAACAGTATAATGAACTCAGTACTGAGTGATACTAGCTATGTCTAGTACAGTCTTTACTAGCTCATTAAATTTTGCAGTCCTATAAGAAAGACATTGTCGGCTCGGCGCCTATAGCTCAACCAGCTAAGGCGCCAGCCACGTACACCTAAGGTGGCGGGTTCGAATCCCCAGCCCGGACCCGCCAAACAACAATGATGGCTGCAACCAAAAAAAAGCCGGGCGTTGTGGCGGGCGTCTGTGGTCCCAGCTACTTGGGAGGCGGAGGCAGGAGACTCGCTTGAGCCCAGGAGTTGGAGGTTGCTATGAGCTGTAATGCCATGGCACTCTACCCAGGGGGACAGCTTGAGGCTCTGTCTCAAAAAAAAAAAAAAAAGAAAGACATTGTCTTCATTTCCTACATGAGGAAACTTCTGGAAGAGTAGTGACTTACTCAAAGTACCATAGAGGAAAGTGACAGAAAAGCATTCGAACCCAGGAATATCTGCTTCCTCTGTTACTCTGGCTATGCCTCCATTGGGTTCTCAAATTACTCAGGCTTATTAGTACAAAAGTTTCTGTTTCTTAAGTGTTTTTTATGTACAAATGCCATTTCAAATAAAAGTTTAGACTTATGAATTTGGAATAGTAGTGATATGGAATGGGAGCGTTACGATACATTTTGAAATTCCACTTGTGAAGAATAAAAAAGCCTTGCTTAGAGAAAACTTGTTTTTTGGTAGGCTACTTAATGAGCTTTCAAATCTGCATGCATATTTTAACTGTTCTATATTGGTATTTTCCTTTTATATATAAACCACACTAACATGATTAGTACTGTTTTCTAATATTTCATGGGGGCAATTAATTGGAATGATGTTTAGAGTTGTTATGAAACCCTGCTTGCCCAAAGAATCCTTCCTTCCCAACCAACGAAGCTAACCGGATTCTTGGTGTCCAGAGTTTTTATACTGGAGCTCATCAAGTAGGCATGATCAAATTGCCTGCATGGCTGATCTCAGTTTCTAGTCTTTCAGGTTAAATGTATGGGCTTGTTTGTTTCATGCATTATATTTGTTGGGTTGGCCAAACTAACTCTTAACCTTGAAAAGCTATTCTGTGAGACTCTGTTACAGGTGGATGTAACTCAGACGAGAGAGACACATGCTACAGGCTTGTCCTCCCTGGTCCTTGCACCAGCCCAATTACAGACCTACCCAGGAGAAATATGCTGGCACTCCCATAAGAAGAACCTGCCAAGAGAGTCCCTATAATGAGAGAACATCTTTGATGTCCTAATTAGAACAACAGTTCGGTGGTCCTTGATAGAAACCAGCTACAGGTGTACCGAAGTGTCAACACCGCCTTTGTTACACTTTGGTCTTGAGTGTTCTCATCCTCTCCTTTCTTCAACTTTTACCTGTCAATATATTTGATTTCCCTCCTGGGTTGTGTGTTCATCCAGAAAAGTTGTGGCTCTTTTTCTTTATTTCCTAATGATAGGGCAACATCTGGCTGAGGAGTACTATGCGCTTCCTCCTCAAATAACTTTCATTGCATGGAGGGAAAGTACAAGCAATGTCCTTTCCTCTAGTCTCTTTCTACTGCTTAATGAAGCATCGTCCTCTCAGTAGCTGCCCTAATTCTGGATCCTCTCCTTTCTGACATCCAGAAATTCAGAGGGAGTGAGGAAACAGATCACTTCTTGTGTGTATGACTTGTATACCAGAAATCTCACAATAAATATTAATACGTAATAGTAAGCAAACCACTCTTGTCCAGTCCTTCCCTGTGATACTTGAAGAACATAGCAATTCTAAGAGATCACAGTTCTCTTATGATCACGGATGAGAGTGGCTCACAAAATGAAGCTTTAGATCATCACATGATATAAAGCTGAGGGCCCCAATCCCCCGAATTATTTTAATATTCCCATTTTGTTGATGGAGGGTTGGGGGAAGCTCACCCTGTATCCAAATGAAACTAAATAGCAGAGGCTGAGTTCTTTGCACATGATTTTGGCAGCACCTGGCACAATAATGCATTAATCTTTTTGCAAATATCAATTATAACAGTCTCTAGAAAGAAACTGATGGGTTCAAATCCTGGCCACCAATTAGTCCTATAAGCTGAGAAATGGGATCAGCAGTTACAAACATCACAGAATGGGGGGGGGGATCAATACACGTAAGGAAATTATTTCCCCTTTTTGGTGGGTCCTTCCAAAAGAACGGTCCACACCACAACCCGAGTAGCTCAAGCCTCAACCCACCCAAGCAGTTGGTCACCAAGCTCAAGTGCAGCTCAGTTGTCTGGGATCCCTCCCCGATCCTGTGTGCCAGTCGTCCTTCTCGCGATGCTTGCGTGCGTGAGTATACGTGCGTGCGTGAGTATACGTGCGTGCGTGCGTGCGTATGCACGTCCCTCGCGAGCTCTCGCACGCCGCCTCTCGCACTACGACGCTGGAGCGGCCTGTTCCTTCTGTGCCTGGGGCTGGACTGCGCGGTGGCCGCAGCCAGAGCTGGGAGCTAGCGTCTGTCTTGCCGCGGCCCTCGCTACCTGCGCGTGGCCTTGGACTGTTCTCTGCTCTGTGCAGAGGCGGCGGGCTGGGGAGGGAACGGCGCCAGCGTCAGGTTCCCAGCCGATGGGAAGCCCCTGGACGCGCTGAGGGGCCGGGCTACGAGCGGCCGAGGTAGGTGGGCGCGCGCGGGCTTGTCACCTGGCGGGGAGCAGAGTAGGGGCGGCGGGCGCTAGTGGGGAAGGCAAGCTAGTGCTAAGAACGAACGCCTAACTGGCTGGGGAGAAGGGGTTTCCGACTTGCGCCTAACGGAGGGGCCCTGGCCTAGCGAGAGAGAGAGGAGGGGCCCTGGACATAGCCTGCTCTTTCCTGGGTGTGGAGCCATTACGGGGGTGGGGGGGCGGGAAATTCCTCCTGCGGCGGCAGGAGGGAAGCGGTCATTCTTTTGAGAAATCAAAACACGCACTACTGTCTTCATCCCTTTAAATAAAAGGCTGCGGTGTACGAGGTTGGCTTCTAGGTGGAGTGGTCTGTGGTCTTGTCGAACGCTTGCAGAACTCCTAGAGGACGGACAGCGGTCTGTGAATTTTTATTTTGGGAGGGTACACAACGCTTTCTCTAGTATGGCGTGTATCTTCTCCAAACTTGTTATTGCTAATACGTTACTAGTCCCTTTCGGGTACACAACAGGTAATACATTTTTAAACGCCTGATGTCAAATAAGAGATTGTGCGCCAGGGAAACTGCGCTGTGGGGCATAATTAAGGAGTAGAAAGAAGACAAAGGAGTCCGTTTTTTATGTTCAGTCCTGGTATCAAAACTTTCCGTGGTGGGGAACAGTGGTTTATAGGCCTTTGCTGAATAGAGTTTCAGAGTGATTGAGGTAAGTCGCAAAAGAACCCTTAGGATTATAAAATCAATCGTCTATGATTATGTATAATTGTTGGCAAATGACCTGAGATGTATTTCTGAGAAGTATGTGGTATTTGTTGGAGATCAGAATTTGGGTTTCTTGAATGGAGGTTTTTTTCCATGTTTGGAAAGCTTCGTGAATGCTTTGTGAAGTTACTAAAAATAGTTATAGTTCTTTATGTTGTTAGTTACCACTGCCACATTCAAGAGAAGGGAAGGGAATTGTTCTTTAAAGAACGGCTCACTTTAGGGGTTAAACTTAAGGAGTTAAATACACAGTAAATCAGCTTCAGTGATTGCAAGTTTTAGTTGATGCTTCAAAAATTTAGTAACAGTGACAATATATAGAAACTCTTAGTTGACTCCCTTGCATTCATTGAATCTTTTAAAAAGATGATCCCTAACCTTTGTCAGTTTAGAGAGTCTGTTCTGTAAGTCTTTGCTTCCTTTCAGCCCAGACTTTCTAGAAACGTAGTAGTCATCCTGACTGTCTTAAGAAATGTGGCCTGTATATTTTCAGTAAGTTCTGTATGGGAAGAGTCTTTCAAGAATTGTGAGCTCTGGCTTGGCGCCTGTGGCTCAAGTGGCTAAGGCACCAGCCACATACACCTAAGGTGGAGGGTTTGTTTCCAGCCCGGCCGGCCAAACAACAATGACGCCTGCAACCAAAAAAATAGCAGCACTTGTAGTCGCAGCTACTTGGGAGGCTGAGACAGGAGACTTGCTTGAGCCCAGGAGTTGGAAGTTGCTGTGAGATAGACTCTACCCAGCACTCTACCCAGGGGGACAGCTTGAGGCTGTCTCAAAAAAAAGAATTGTTAGCCCTGAAGTGGATGGAGAGAGGCATTGTGCAGTGTAGGGTTATTGATAAGGCTAAAGTCTAAAAGTAGGAGGGCATTGATTTTAGATGTTTCCTTTTTTTACTTAACTATTTACATGAATAATTGCCACAGTAACTTTCTTCCCCAGTTTGCTAATTGATTATTGAGTAACGAGAATACTGTACTGATTCCTTGGCAGTAGCAAGGAGGGAAAATTTAGAACATACGGAAGACCTATACTTTAGAAATGTTTGTTAAGGCTCGGCGCCTGTGGCTCAGTCGGCTAAGGCGCCAGCCACATACACCTAAGGTGGCGGGTTCGAATCCCCAGCCCGGGCCGCCAAACAACAATGATGG